AAAAAAAAAAAAGCCCACAAACCCCACAAAGAACCTCCTACAAATATTGTCAGATATGCCATGGAAAAGGTATAATACCCAACTCCCAGTTCACCACATTACAAGCTAGTTTTATTCAAGTGAAAACTAATAGCCTAGTCTGCTAAAAAACGTTATTTGCTGGATTGTCTTTGTGCCTATTCTTTCTTTTAATTTTTTAAGACTTAGACCTGTGTCTGCATGTTTATGATCAGTGGTTACATTTAAGCACTAGTCTTGGTCAAATACTCCTTTTAGTAGGTTTGTTGAACGTCTAATATGTGATTTGATCCTAATATCACAAAGTATGACTGTGCAATTTTGTATTACCTGATAAAATACTCTACAAATATGAAGTGATTTAATGAAAGTAAATTGCCAAACAAAGGAGGTCAAGAAGATGGTCTTTTTTGATAATACGACTATGTGCGCTTGCCTGCCTAGAGGAAGCAAGCAACTAGGTCTGAAGACTGGCCATTATCTGCATGCAGTGTATTTACCAGGTGATCATCCTTGTCCCACACCACCTCTTCCACCAAACCTCCTCTGAAAGCCTGACCCTTCTTCTAAGTTGTCTTCTCCCACTGCACCTTCCCTGCAAGTGTAAATTAAACTTTCCATTCTGGTCCTACAGCTCAAAAAAAAAAATTAGTTTGAATAACAGGAGATGCATAAACATTTTGTCTGTTGTCACGTGTAGCTCAGCTTCAGTAAAAGTTCTCAAATCTGCCCTTTGTCATCATCTCCCATGACACTTGCCTAAGCTTAATTTTCATTGCACACCTCTGTAGGATGTAGCTGGAATGAGGGATCTGTTGCATGCCTCAGCTTTGGGTTTTGGTGCTTCCCCATGTATCTCTTGCCTTTGCCGCAAAGAATTTGTCCTGTGACGGCTTTTTCATTTTGTGCTTGTATAGCATCAAGCGTGGTAGAGTTTTAATCAGTACACATAGCGTTTCTCAGCAGTCCTCACGGTGTCATAGTCAACATTACATACATTGTGGGGTAGCTGCTGCACATAAGAAAGAAACTTGTTTTAAACAAGTTAATGGTTATGGGCTCATAACGCTCACTTCTATCTTGTAAGTATGTCTGAAATGCCTTTCTTTTCTGGACATAGGCTTTTTAGTTGTCAGTACTTTTCTAGTAACCAGTAACTCTGACTGTAACTTGCAGTGTTTAAATACTCAGAATCCTGGCATTTTTGCCTACTGTGCATGCTTTGCTGTAGCTAAATTTCAGTGAAGCTTGGTGACACTGTCTTTCCATCAGTCCTCCAAGTAAGGAATATTGCTTTTACAGGGAATGGACTGTTTAATCTAGCAGTCACTAATGCTTCTGGCTTTATCTAATTCAGCATGAGGTTACTTTTCGTATGAATAGTGAGAGCCTGTTTTCAAGAAAATGTTACTGCTGTGTTCATGCTCTTTATTAACTTGGCTTACCATTATTTTTGTGGCTTAAAGTTTTGAGAATGTACCCAGGTGCAGTGGAAGTTATTGTGAATATGTTCATAAATCTCCTGCAACTTCTAGGTCTATTAGCAATTGTGCAGCAGGTGCTGCATAGCTAGTTTCTCACTTACAAAATGTACTCATTTCTGAAATGTATCACTGATGCTATTGTAAGCTACTGGAATGAATACACAGAAAATAGGTATCTTTCTGTGGACTGCCAACCCGGTCTTCTTTCCTTCGTGTGCTTAGTTCAGGATGCAGCACTGAAATGCTCTGCTTGGGATTATCACCCTTTACTCTGTGATACTTCGCTAGTCCTAAAGGCAAATCTTAAATTTCTGCTCAGCTGTGATGTTCAACACTCCAGAGACGATTGCTGGAGGAGCACAGCAAGCTGTCTTACAGCAAGAACAATTCTAAACTCATGGTCCAGAACTTAGCATGCTTCCCACCTTGGGTCCTCCATAATCCTCATCACACTAGGTCTGCATTTTTCAGCATTTAGTCTCCAGATTTATTTACAAGTATAAAGATGCTGGGAATGGGATTTTTTTTGGATGATGACTTCATTTATGTTTGTTTATAGCTACTATTAGAACACCAGGATGCCATTGCCACTGAGCCTAATGATCTGCTGAATGAATTGCTGGAAGGGCTGGGACCTGTTCCTGATGTAGAATCTTTCCTTGGTATGTTGTTCTTCGTCTTTATGGTTAACTTCACTCCAGGGGCAGAATTAAATGGGGGCTTGATTTAAGTACTCTCATGTCTCACGGTGACAGCTTCTTCACTTACGATAGAATTCTTTTCTGAACACTTCTTGTAACACCACTCCTTATAGTTGTACCTTCTTCTAACTGCAATATTCACTCTAAAGATTAATGATGGGATTTAAAATCCAAACTTTAATAATGTTTTGAGCAGAATGATCCAGTTGTGCTCAAATTGCAGATAGAAACCAAGTGATTTTTAATAACCTGATTTTAAGATTTGCTAGTGTTGACTAGAAACTTACAAAAAGTGCACAGTGAATTCTTAAAACAGCCATTTTTTATTTTCACAGTTAATTATCCAAATAAAAATGAAGTTTTAAAAATTATGCAAATTTATTAGAAAGTTACAAAGAATAAATGTGACTGATATTTAATTTCCCTTAATTGTAGTAAGGTGTGAACTGTTTAGAAAGTAGCTAGGATGTCATGGATAATACCATCTTCCAAGTGGTAGCATTTCCAAAATATCCTATATTGGGCTTATCTATCTATTCTATAACTGGGCTTATAAATAGCTGGCTTATTGTTTTGATTGTTCAGTGTCTAAAAAAAGGCTGCTTCTAAATAGTAGGAATGGGTATGCTATTTAATAAACTTAATATTTCTGATGATTTACAGTGATTTATCTAGGTTCTTGTTTGCTTCATGCATTGAATCATGGGAAACTTGGCAAACTTGAAGTAAAAGGTATTTCCTTACAGGAGAAGGAGCTGTTGATCCCAATGACCCCAACAAGGAAAGCACACTGAATCAACTTGCAAAAACAGAGATTTCACTGTCTCTAACAAGCAAATATGAGTTACGAGAAGGTGATGATCAGGATCTTAAAAGCCTGATGATAAAGTAAGTTTTGCTTAAGAACCTGTATTCTGGCAATGTGGTTTTTTTGGTGGGGTTTTGTTGTTTGTTTTGGGGGTTTTTTTTTGAAAAAAAAAGTTGCTTCCATGCTGCTGCCATGCCCAAATGCATTTTTGACGTCCTGAGCGCACTCAGTTTTCAAAAGCCAGTTTGTGTTCAGTCCTACTCAAACTTTTGCAAAAGTCAAAGAGAAACTGTCAATTCTTCCAGAAAGCTTACAGAAAGATAAACATACTGCCACTGTCCAAAACAGTGTTTTGGACTGTGACTGGATCATTACCAAACCTATCTAACCTTCCATGAAGTTGTAAAAGCATTCTGCTTTAAAACACCACGGATTTGCAAAAGCAGAGATGAAAAGCTGTCTAGCTTTGTCCTTAAGGGATGGACAGTATCACTCTGTCGTCTTCTCCCCCTCAAAGGGAAAAACATTTCACTGATGTACTGCCATCAGGTGTTTGAACAGGATGCGACTGTCACTTCAGCAGGGA